TTGAAATTGTTGTTTGCAGTAAATGAATTCAGTGATAAAATAAATTTATAATTTTAATTAGAAAAAATTTAGAGAAATGTAAATGAGTGCTATAGTTGTGCAGAAGAATTAACAGATCCTACGAAAGACTGCTCGAAAGCAGTGCTTATACAATGCACAATCTCAGCAGCTACAGAGAGAATACAACTTTGCATAACTAGACATTTCCGTATAGCTAATAGTTTTGTTTTTTATTCTCAGCAAAATGCTTCCTTGCAAAAAAATAACTTTTTAAAATTACAACTAATTCTCTCAAATTAAAAAAATCAATAATCTAAACTGAGTTTCCAAAAGGAAGATATGCATTCAAAATTTCAAATTTTCAGTTTGAACTGATTTGTCATATGATTTATTTCACTACTTATACAATTTTATAATTACAAAACTCTACATGGATTTAATCTTATTTATTCATCTAACAAATTCAAATCTCTTACATGTTTGAGAATTATTTCTGTGCAATCTTAAAAAGCAAGAAAATGTTTTCATTTTCGATTCGTACAAAGTAGAAAAAGGATGTAGTAGCGAAATGGAAGAGCGTGAAATTGGGTTAAAAAAAATTTCTTCACGCAAGTTCACGTGTGCAGCGACTTCGAATGGCTCACATGCGCTTTGTATATGTGTTGGACAGTATTGTAATAAAGGAAGCTTGCTAGAACAAGCTATGAATGAAGCTGAAAAGTAAATATTTGATGATCAGAATAGTAATAAAGACTTAAAAACTTGCAATTTAATTGTGCAGAAAGTTAGCTGAAAATTAATTAGCGCTATTTTTTATATTTCAAATCAAATTGCCATTGTTCGGATTAAAAATACTGTTCATATTGAAAAAGGCACTCTTGGGAAGATAAAGAAATTATGATTATTATGTTTTTCTATCTTATTGTTACTGATGCGTTATGATTGCTATTATGTATTTTTTTATAATGCAAAAAAAAAGTTATTTTGTAGCAGTAATGATGATGGTCTGCTCAAGAAACCATTATTTACTCTGAACAGCAGCCTGATCGGTTTATCGAGCACTACAAACTCGGAATACTCTGCAAATGAGTTTAAAACTTTCAATGAATTGAATGTAATGCTTTTAGTAGCTTCAAAATGTAATTCAGTTGATTTCAATTTAAAAATTACAGTTTCTCAAATCATTCTTTCAAAAAAGGCTTGTATTTTCTTATTTTTTTTCCCTTCAGGAAATCAAATCTGTAGCAGAGTTACCTATAATTTCATCGTTTCAAAGCAAGGAAAACGCTGACGAAAGGTAAACTGCACACAGGCATCAAAAAAGTACTCACTAATTTTATTCAAATAAGCTCACATATGCTACAGAATTGTGATCAAATATGGAAAGTACAAATATTTTATTTATTCTTAAATTAATTTTTAGACTCAGTTAATGGATACAAAAGTAATTCTTAATATTTTAATCTAAACCTTCCGTTAATTGTCCTTTTTAAAAAAAAATAATTTTATATATTTTTTCAGGAAATTAAGCAAATCCTCACATTGGGGCAGAGTATTTACAAATGCAGCTGGGGAAAGCAGTACTTGTAACAAAATGCTAACACAGTTATTTATTGTGAAAATTTACTTGGTATTACTTTTGATCTTTTGAATCAAACTTAATGGTTGAGCAGGAGAACATTATAGAGTTCATGAAATTTTCAGACAAAAAATTTTAGTACATCAATGCCAGCTTTACGGTTTCAAAAAATTTTCTCACAAAACAAGTATTAAATCAGATACAGATATTTTAAAACATTTATAACAAAATAGAATGTTTTAAAAATGTTTGATTCATTTTGAAAATTACCGTATTTTTTGTCAAACTAAATAATTTGCTTACAAGCATACATGCTACAGAACTAAATTCATATAACTTATTTATAAATTAACTCTTTTACTTCAATCTTTTTATAAAATTGTGTATCTATGCTTATGTTTTTGTCAGATTTTATCCAGAGTTCAATAAATATTTCTTTTCTATATTCCACTTCCAGTTACAGAAATCAAGAAATCTACAAATCTGATCTAATTCGCATTTGCATTCATTGCCATGCTTGATTTGTCAAGAAATTTCAAATGCAAGAGTGACAAAAGAAATATTCATAATGAAATATAATTGCGCAAAAATATGAATCCGTTTGACTTTGAAGAATGAAAATTTTTGCAAGTATTTAACAAATTTTGTACGAAATGTTGCAAGCAAAGCTGATGGAAGGAAAAGAAAAATATGAAAATTTGAACAGGTGAGAAGGGCTGAGATTAGTTCCGTGTTGGGTACGATCATTTCTGTAGTGTGCACATTTGTGCCTTTGCAAACATTCCTCAACAATAACCTGAAATTTTGTGAGGTACGTACCATCCATTCATCTATTAATCTATTTATCCACTCAAAAAATTTCTCCTAAATTAGTTGTGAACTGTTGTTTATCTGCCTGATTTTTTTTATTTCATTTCTTGCACAATAGACATTTTAGTCGTACTAACTTTTGCTTCAGTTGATTTATTCAGATAAAAATTTTTAATATCATGATTAGTTGAGATCTAAGCATGCTATTTTGATACACCGATTTATTCTTATGTAATATATGTTGATTTAATTATTGACCTGTAAAATAATTGATAAGACTAATATTACTTTTTGACCTGTAAAATAATTGATAAGACTAATATTACTTTTTGACCTATAAAATAATTGATAAGAGTGATATTATTCTACTTTTGCATTGTGATATTAGTCGTCTTTAGAGTGGATTAAAACTCTTGAATTGCATTTTTAATCATACTATAATAAATAGCATGCCTTTTTTCTTTTAAAAAAAGAAGGCATTGACATAGTATTAACAACATTGCACAACGTCAACTTTCTTATGAAAATAATGAAGTTAATTTTATACAAAATTTAGATGCAATTGATTCAAGACTATACTATTATAAATATTAATTATGAATGATTAGAAATTTGAAATTATATAGATCTAAGTTTTTATTTGCAAATAAAAAAAAGTAAATGCAATGAAAAATTATAGAAAAAAGTAATAATTTTCTCACTGTAACCTGTTCAAGTTATAATATCATAGTTATTACTTTTTAAAAATGTCAACAGTGAAAATTGTTATTAAATACTAAATTAATTTTTTCAAGTTAATTCAGACAGTTTATTCTGTGTGATGTAATTAATGAAAAAAGTTGCGATTTTAACAAATATTAATAATTTTTTTGAATACAAAAACGGAATCAAAATTCAGTTACTAAATGAAACATCATTAATTGATAAAATTAGCTAAATTCTTCTAATCAAAAATGACTTTTTTCAGATCAATCAGTTATTGATAAAAACAAATTATAATGATCTTTTATCAAAAAATTGCTATGAATCAGTATTTGTTACAATCACAACTCCGCAAATTTTCGAATTTCTTCATTATAACTTGTAAATAAGTAAGTAGCTCTACTAATAAGCATTAAGAGCATTTGCGTTTTTTTAAAAAACAAACAAAGCTGCTGGATAAGCCAGTGCTAATCACTTTGTTTGGAAAATAATCATAGTGAGGCAGGAAGGAAATTTATCTCGCGCATTAGATTGGCGAAAAAAATATGTGTAAATTGTAGTTGTGCTTCAAAGCTTTTTAGTCAGTCAGTGAGCAAGTTGAAAAAAATGAATGAGTGAGTAAGTCAAAATTAGTAAGTAAAGATGGTACTGACAGCATCATCATGTGCTGCATTTAGGCAAATTTATCAGTTCGAGTCAGCTTGTACCTTTCGCTTATATTTGCAAGTCAGCAAAGTCACTTCAGATACTGCCAATAATCAATTACTGCACTACTACTAATAAACATTTAATATTCTGTGATTAAGTATTCATTCTTATTTTACTGATATGAATTTATTCAGTCTACAATATCGCATTTGCTTCTAATAAAATGCATTTCATTTAAATGATTATTGACCAAATGTTATATTTATTTGCTACTCTGCATTTGGTTTTACTTTCATTTAATTCTTTTCATTTCCAGTATTGCATTTTCATTTATTTATACCATTTGATTAGATCATTTGTGTTGCTTGAGCTGTTATAAACTTACCTAATTATTTAAATCATTACTTATTTAAAAGAATATTCAATTAATGTAATTGAAATGTACTACAATTTATATCATCTTTTGTTTATGTTCAAGGTATTTATTTCTTGCTTCATTTGGCTTTGTTATATTCTATACTGTTTCATTTCATTGCACACAATTATAATCACTTAATTCAGTATTCATTTAAATGAGTTGAATTTTATTAATGTTTTACAAGCTGTGTTCAGCTGGCTTTTTCTTTTCACTGATTACAAAAACTAACCTTGTCATTTTGGCAATAGAATGCTTAATTTTATTGAAATCAGTTATTTTAAAATTAAACAACTACTTGCCTTCATTCAATTTTCTGTCATTGGTTGCAGAAATAAGCAAAGGTTTGATTGCTTTAGTCGACTGACTTATTGTTTGATTGAAAAAACCTATTAATAAAAGCACATCTATTTTTTGTTTTTTTCTGCTTGCTATATTCAATTTACAGTACGAACAAATTATGACATGAATATGAACTTAATTTTAATTTCATATTTAGTTATTTGAAATCATCTGATTCTTAAAAAATTGTAGTGCGAAAAATTGATTTTATTTTGCCTTAGCTGGTCAGTGATGATTAACATTGACGCAGTTATCTATTGTTGATTATAATTACTTTTCCTAATTTTAATTTTTGCTGGTTGATTGATAAAGAAATTAACTTCAAGACAATAAGATTTTTTGCTTTAAAAAATGGAAAAACATATCGTGTGAGAGTTTGCGAAGAACTTTAAATCGTTTATTTGCTGAGAAAAACGCAAATGATTATTTTCTTCTTTTGGAAATAATAGCAAATGATTGAAATTAATAAAATATTAATTTTAGATAATTCTGTAATACATATTATTACTGATTCCATATATGATAAAATGAACAGTGACGAGCAAAGGATTTTTTCACTTGATGGAGGAGAATTACTGACTTCAGAAGAGGAATTCACGCACCCGACCAACCAACAACCATCAACTTCCTTCTTCAGCAATTTTGGTTTACTGCCAACTTTCAGAAGAGATGCAAATCTTTCTACAGGATTCGTTATTCCATTGCAACTGTCAGATGAATCAGTGTCAAGGCAGGAATCTGCAGATATACCTTTACCGATGCATTATATTTCTACAGTTCCTCTTGAACTTCCCGCATTTACTGTATTTTCTCTACCAATTATACCACCTTTAATATCCGATTCTGAATTTCTAAACTCTTGGGCTTGGGATCAGTGGCTTGGTTGCTTGGCCAGGTCACTCAGCCCAATTCAGTGGCAACAGTATTGGATTAACTATCTAACTTTGTTTGGTATCACAGGTTTACCTCAGCATCTAGTACACTTTTTCATTACGGCTGCTTCTTTAAATTTGCCTTCTGCTACTTCCTCAACTTTGTTTAATTCGATTTCTTCGAAAAACAATGTCAATGTCATGGATTTTTCACAGCAACTCTACGGTATAAACTTTTTGGCTTCTTAAACTTCTCTTCAGCTAAACCTTTTAATTTACTGAGCTTTGACAGAAACAATTTGTCTACTAAGATCAAGAGTATAGTTGGTACCATACTATCAAGTAGGGTTAAATTTAGTAGTACTGGGTTAACTATAATCTTGATACATCAGCTTGATTGAGATAGTGTGAGAATGTCTTAAATATTGCTGTTAAATTAGTATGCCAGATTTAAATTCCAGTGATAATGCAGATTATTTGACTTTTGACCTCATAGTAACTAAAATTCGAAATCTGAACTCATTGTTGATTACAATGCATTCATAATTTGACATTTATAAAAGTCAAGTGATGCTAATTACCTCAAGAAAGCAGCGCAAGACATATTATAATTCAGTGTTGTGTAGGATTTAAATTGTATTTATTTGTTTTATTCTTGCAGTTGGGGTTCTGGCTATGATATTCCATTTTATATAAATAATGTACTGTGAAATTTGTATAGATAATGAATAAAGTTTATAATTTGACTGTAGGATGAAAAAATTTGTTCAACATAAGAACTGCGTTTAATAATACGAGAATCGATTCATAATAATTCAACTATATAAGCATAGATGGGCAAGATTAGGAAGAACAAGTAAGTAATAAGATTTCTCTTGATTTCAGATTTATGACTGATTTGTACAAGTGTAAAAGATTTGAAAATTGCATAGTAATAAAAGCAGACCCTAGTTCTGCAAAATTAAATTAAAGGACAAAATTACTGTCTTTTATATTGCTCAGAAATTCACTTATTGAAATTTTTCGATGTTTTAAACCAATTTTTTTTACAAACTTGCTTTGTAAAATAAGCTGTTCTTTACTCATTCGAATCTAAGAAAATGCTGTTTTAATTTCGATTTGTTATATTTATATTTTCTAACATTGTACAGCAATATTTTCATTCGATTAAAAGTAAAAAGAATAAAATATAGCATCAACGTGAGTGTGTTAGAAGAAATCAGCGGTACCCTCAAATTTGTATCAGTAATTCACGCTAGATGACTTCAAAGTTCTCGATTCTAGAAATTATCTATTTATTTTTGGAAAAATTAAGCAGATCAGGCATATTTTTTCAATATTGTAGAAAAAGACTGCTTGGAAGTCTTACTCTATAAAAGCAATCACTAATAAGTTATGTTATTTGATTATATGAATAGACGTCCTAGCATTGAGCTTTTATTTGCAGATATTTTAAAATATTTTTCTCTTTTTGATCTCTTTACTGATGAGTTTTATTCTTGTCATTAATATTTCTGATTACTAGTGGTTCTTGAATAAAATAATGCAGTAATGCAGAAATAGTGTTGAACAAGATGATTTTGTTTCTGTCTATCTTGTTTTTATTTCTAAAGATGAAACAATTTTTTATGCATGTTTCGATCTTTTCAAAATTTTGCCATTCAAATTCATCAAGCAATTCAAGAAGAAATTCAACTACAGTTTTTTGATATATTGCAAAGTCTTCAATCGTTGTAAGTATAGCAAAGTTTGCCGTGGCAATTATGTAAAGTGAGAATTATTAATAAATTGTAAATGCAGACAACAAGGCATGAAAATGTAAAAAAAGTGTCCATAATGAAAATAATTGGATGTGATTAAAAATGTGATAATATTAACATTATTTAGATTTACTTTTATTTCAACAAATAAAGAATTCATCTGAATTTTAGCTCCGTTTTCTTCAATGGCCACTTCAGCAGCTTCAGAATAATTTGCTCCCAACTTGTGAGTAAAACAGATTAATAAGATATTTTAGTAAGTGGTTTTACCAAGTCCAAATATGTCTGCAGTAAGCATTACTAAGTTGAGCTTATTTTCACCCATTTCCCCTATTCTAGTGGTGAGTAAGTGATAAAAGTGCTTTAAGCTTTCCCAAAGTAATAAATTTGTTGGCACGAAAATGTGTAATTGCCAAACTTCATACGCACAGCATCCATCTAACTATCTATAAACCAAACAACTTATCAATCAATACTAGATCATTGTTTTTAAACGAAAAATAATAAAATCATCAACAAAATTATGCTATTCTAAAGTTGTTGCTTAGTCAAAAGTCTTTTGATGAGTTATTTAGGAACTTATATTTATCATCCACAATTGTCTCCTTCATAATTTGCTTTATTTTAAGAAGTTCGCTTTTAAAATTCTTCCAAAGCAGCTTACATTATTTAATCGTTTAACACTAATCACAGCATTTAATCTAAAAAATATTCTCTTTTTGTAATTAAATACTGTACTGAATTGCAGTGTGCGATCAAATCGTTGATTTGAATGCATAATATTGCATAAGTATTTATTGTTTTGAACTCATATCACAGTATTCATTATTGAATGCATAAAAGTTTGTCACTTCATCATTAATAGGAACATTGTTTTACTTTCTGTAAGTATAGCAAACTTTTCAAAAGAATTTTTTCTTAGCATACATATATGTGTGCTAAATAGTACCACTTTTTCGTTAATGGATTCTGCAAAAAAGAAACACTGATAACAGCTTCTAGCCACGTGACGTATATACATACATCTTTCGTTCTCTCTCTCATTACTTAACTTTTATAATGTGCATAAATAACTTGTCTTTTTACTTCTTCAGCTTTGTGTCGGTCATTATCTTCTTAAAAATATTTCTCCAAAATGATACAATTTACAAGAAAAGTATACACGTGAAAAGGCATATGTACATTGATCATTGCACGCATATACGATTTGAATTGTATCGATGAAAAGCATTTCTTTCACCCTTTATATACATATGTATACATGAGTGTGTAAGTACGCTCACTTGTTTACAGATCTATAAAACATATACATACGTAACCATATTTGACATATGCATAAATACACTCACATACCCAAATATACGTACATGTAATAAGACAATTTTGGATTCCCAAGATGTTGAGAAGAAGAGAAGTATTTGAAATTGATGATATCTTCTCAGTAAAAATGCAATAAAAGAAATAAGCATACGTAACTACTAGCTGAATGAGTGATCGAGTAACTGAGTTGCGTGAGTGAATAGAAAAGTCTGATCAAAAGAGCTAACAATCAATCTAAAGTTTAAGAACGAAAACATAACTCGTTTAAACTGCACTCAAACTTTTCACTACTTGACCTCACTTTTATCTATGAGCTTTTCATTACATTACTATAAACTGATTTGCGTTAATATCTCTAATTTTTATGCAAATTATCTATTTTTTTAGCTCAATTTTGCACTTTTTCTATTACAAATTAGCTTTCGCCGTTTTTGTGCTTGCAGTTTCCGTCTAATTTGCGGACCTGAAAGTTTAGCCTTGTGTTTTAGTGGTGTTAAAAAGAAAAGCGAAGAAGTTGTGTAAATTAGCCGTACAAGTTATTGAAGAGTATATAGTTTATTTAGTAACGTTATTAATAACAATGATAATAACAATTCAATAATTTTGTTTATTATTATTATTATTACTATTATTATTACTATTAACTGTTATTATAATTACATCATTGCCACTATTATAACTATAATCACCTTATATATCTTGTACCTAAAAAAGATGTAACAGATGAAACAAAATCTCAAAATTGAAAGATGCAACAGTGACAATATATTTTTTAGGTTCTCATGCAAAATTTTCAGAGTTAACCATAATATTACGGCTTTTTCTTATGATTTTATAATCTTGAAATTTTATTTTCCGCTAGGAATTTTGGTTGATCTTAACAGCAATACTTGACATTTCATTTAATTATATGATTTATGAAAGACTTTTTTTAATATTTTAAAGGATGCTTTACGATAAACTATTTAAATTAACTAGTTAATTGAAAATGTGCTAGATGAATCGAATCATAGTAATAAATATGGCACATTTACTAGCTTAGTGAATAAAGAGCAATTTTAATATGGATTACTGGAGCAAAATTTCTAAATCAAAATAGAGCATTTAAATAGCATATTGTCATGAAGAAATGTGCTAAAAAGGTTAACATTATAGAGTGAAAATTTGTTTGTTCACCTGAAATTCTGAAGTAAGCAAACAATTGATGATCGTTTTATTTTGACAACTCTTTTTTTTGTAAAAAATATCAAGCATTCTTGTTTTATTTTGTAGATGCATTTAACATTTGAATTTTTGCTAATTTTTCTTAATTATCAGATCAACTGAATTAGTTGAGGAAACGTTACTACATGCTGTTCAACTTTATTCCAGTCTAATTTGCTCTCCCTCTCTCATATTTTACGGTTCAAATTAACCGTCCAACGAGTATTTAATTCTATTAGAAAATTCAAAGATTTCTTCAAATTTCCTGCATTGAACTAAAAATTACCTGATGGGTAACACAGCAACCAGCCAGTTAGGTAGTTCAAGTTCTACACTGCGCAGATTGCAGCATCAAGATGCTGCGACAAATATTCATTCGAACAGAGGTTTGTGATTGTTTTCATTTTTGCTTGACAGTATTTTTCACAAGAATAAAAGTCATTTTTTCACTAAAAATTTTAATAATTTATGTCAAATGTTTGAGCTAAATTCTTACTTTGCACTCAATATATCAATTTTGTAAGTAATCAACGTATCAAAATTAATATTGGATTAACTGGTTATAAGGTCATAGTTATCATCAATTCGTTTAATATTTCGAAGCATAGTTTTTAAAGACAAATTTAAATGAGCGTTATGAGATGATAAGTTTAAACAATGATTTTTTTAATAACAAGTGTTAAGTTCAGAATTATGGAGTAGGCGGTATACTTGTGAAGTTTTCTACGCATTAATTAAATTCTTTAAAGCAAGAAATTTTTAGATTATATATGCAAATGATTTAACTGATTAGCTCTCTTCCGTCGTAAAATTACCTTTGACGTAAATAAGTAATTAAACAAGGAAATCAAAAAAGAAAAATCTTCAGTCTGTCTTTGTTGTTCACTTTCACTTTTTTTTAAGATTCAAGAAATATTTTAGATCCATAATGAATTAAGCAAATAGATTCAAAGTCAAAGTAATTAT